TGCATGTCCTTCTCTCCCGGTGGAGCACAGCGAACCAAAAACCACATTGCAGACATCAAGTCTGTGACTCAGAAAACTGAGACTTGCCAGGCTTGGGTGTTATAGGATAAATAATTTCACATCTTCTGACAGGTACCATTAATCTGTTTAACTGATTTGCACCCACCAGTGCTTGTTTAAGCTTGTACTCAGTTGCTTCTTGATATATGAGATGAGGAAAACTTCCTGACACTGCCCAAGAAGTTCGGTTCCCATCCAAGAGCATGCTCCCAGGAAGTCAGGGGAAGCTGAATGGAGAGCTGGAGAACTTCTGCACACCCAGCAGACAAACGCCTCTGTTCCCTGTCAGCATGCACTTCTAACAATCTCTGAATAACAGATGGAAGGGGGCTCCTTGGAGGTCTCTTGCAGGATTAAGGGGCTGTAAATAAAGGTTTAAGCTCAAGAAGCAGCCCTTAGCAGTCTGTTCACTTACAATCATTGCCAAACAAAGTAGAGACATTAGTTCGAAAATCACGATGAAGCCACACCACTTTGATGTAACATTTCATTTAGATGATCAAGAATTCAAGGTGGTTTACTTCCATTTTCATGTGAAAAATCAATGTTTTGTCTTTCGTCATTTGTTGCAGCTTCACAAGCAGACTAAATTGTGTTATCACTGTATTGCTTTCATACACAGCAAAAAAGTGACAGTGCTGGATTATTTTCTTTCCTACACAGAATAACTTAAGTAACGCAAACCTTTGAGTCTAATGAAATTATAGGTACATTATTCAGCTTTACTGTACCAAATTTTCAGTGTTGTTTGGTGTCAGAAGGTCAGCCACACTGACTTAAATGCCTTTCCTCTAAAAAGCATGTTCCTCTTGCTGGAAAACTCCTTTCAAATGCCTGACTCCTCCAGAGAGCGACAAGCATGCAATCTGGGTAATAATTGCTGAAACGACTGCACACAGATTTTAGCCACTAAAGCATTTCATCAGGTCTTTTTGTTGTGGCTTTGAATCTAAGAGCCACAGCTGCATATTTGTTCACTTCGGTTTTATTCTGGAGGGTGACTGTGAAAGAATCTCAGTTAGCTCCTTTCAGCTGCCTTCTTCTCACAGCCTGGTTTATATTTCCCTGTGTGCACGCACTCACACACCCCTTCACGCACAAGCCTAGAGCATTCCAGAGGTCATAGTTTCCACAAGAGAGGTTTCCAAATAGGGAGGACTCCCTAGGATAGCCATGGGGACCCTATCACAATGCAAGCCACTCCCCGAAAGCCATGAGACCTACAGGACACAGGGACAAAGACACAGGTGTCTAGGTCTGAGACAGACTGGCAAGGCAGTTCACCCAAGAAACCTCCTTTGCAGCACTGCAAAACCCTGTAGGAAAAAGGATGAGGTCTCTAACATGCACTGGATTCGCTAGTGCTGTCCATGCAGGACAAAAGGTAGGTGACCTCCCTCTGCCCCGGCCTCGCTCCCGGGCTAGCTCTCCCCAGGGATGCCATTAGCAAAGCCCCAGCCTGCGGCACAAAGGTTGACGATTTCTTTCTCCTTTCAGCCAGAATGGCAGCCATTTGTATAACAGATCTCACAACCTGCAATCTGGTACGCATCTTCAAACAGATAAGCATCATAACCAATAAATCCCCACAGTTTGTCCTCAGTGAGGTACATGCTACTATTATTCTCAATTCGGAGCCAACAGGAGAAGCTCTGCACAGCTAGCTGATTTGCCCTGTGCTGCAGGTGGGATCTTGGTCAAAGTCACGACTAGGACCTGGGAGGGACTGCCAGCCCCAGCTGCCAAATCATGGAGCCCTTCGGGACTTACAGCTCACCTTTAGCTGTAGGATAAATGGTGGCTATACAGCTGCCCACTTTTGCAGTATCTGCAACTCAGATGATGTGCCCTGTCACAAAGAATGAGGAATTTATAGCCTCTCATTATTGGTAGTCAAATGAAACACAGACCTGAGTCAAAAATCTAGCAGGGATATAGTGTATTAATAAATACGAATACGTGAGCCAGAGAAGTAAGGATACAAGGCAGAAGAAAATGTGAAAGAAGGAAAGAAAAAATGATTTATCTTTTTTAATATAGATCACCAAGACCATTCATTATAGCCACCTGCAGGTTTGGATATCTCGGAAACATGGGTAAAATTACAATCCTTCAAAAGTACTACAGTGAAAAATCACTGCAATGAGAAAAAAGATCGGCTGGAATGCACTTGTGGGCATCAAGCAAAAAAGAATAATTCACTCAAAATTAAATCCTTGTTGCCTTTCATTTCATTTAAAAACTATTTAATTAACAATTGCTTCCCTCCACACTTCTCATAAATAATTTACGTGTCAGCATTCCCATTCCTAGGGCTGGGAATGAGATCCTCTGTTGTCTAGAAGATAAATACAATGCGTACAGAAGCAACACAAGTACCCCCATGTGTCTTTGGCAGAAAGTCTTTATCTGAGAGAACAGCAATGCTATTTGGAGGAGTCAACTTGAACAATTTTCTGAATTCTGTTTAGTTAGACACGGTTAGATGATATGGCAGATATGCCAGATTGTGGAGAAACGCCCCCTGATATTAAACTTGCATTTGTTATTTGTGTGGTGGTGTTTTGTTTTTTTTT